TTCGTTTCGAGTCCCCTCTCGCTTTCGGCCGAGTGTTTAATTTAACTTCAAGGGTCAACGGAATGCACGCTTCTCTTGTGGCGCGTGGACGAGCATGGGCGTATGACAACGGAGCTCTGCCGCTGGGCTTGACTTTCCTATTCCATCCCAGTCTCGCTAGCTCAAATTGGACTTTTCTCTTTGCTCATTGCCGTAGCAGCCCATGGCTCGCTCCACTGTGGCTGAGTCCTACGAGATCATAGGGGCACTTGGATCGCAGGTGTTTCCTTCAACTTACGCCAATGCAAATCTTTGGAAGCTGGATCTTGGGCTCGCCTGAGAGGCTTGCAACTTGCTTGGAACATGGGCTTCAAGAAAGTCAATCCAGAAACTGATTGCAAAGTTTTAATTGATGCTTTTGAATCTGACCCTGATGATCTCTCACCACACAGCCTGGTGATTCCTGAAATTTCAAAACTGTTAAAGAACAATTGAGAAGTCAAGACTACTCGCATTTCAAAACTTCGAAACAATGTGGCTGATAGACTTGCAAAGGCGGCGCCGAATGTCTCTTCCTCCTTTTATGATAGCGTTACTTCTTTTCTGAAGGATCTAGTCCTTTAAGATTGTATGGGATTGCCAAGGAGGCGCTGAACGTCTCTTTCCCCTATTCAGTTTATTAATGCATTGGTTAATGCATTGGATTGTCAAATTTAAATTTTAAATAAATATATTAAAAATATTTTTAATATGATGAAAGTAAACCAAGCTTCTAGGTCAACAAGCTAACTTATTTTAAGCAAGGCATGAAATCTTTATTAAATAGATAAGATAAGATAAAAACTTTTGATTAAACTTATTTAGATAAATAAGTCTAGCCTGTTTTTTATAAGGCCTGACTTATAAGTTTTACGGGCCAACATATTTACATGTATATTATTATATAATATATTATGTGTATATGATATGTAATATATGATATTTAATTTAAACGTTTGGATATAATCAACTTCACCTCCTTTCTTCAACCCCTACTCGTTCTTCTTCCTTGCCCATGTTCTTTCTTATTATCCTTTGTATGATGAATTTATGATATGCTGACTCCACCATTTCTAGTTTTTTGTTTGTATTTTCAATTAAATTGGACTTATGTGGATAGTGATTTCAATGTTATTGTATTTGATAGGCCATCAATCACTTATTATATGTTTTAGTTGGCAAGCTAGTTGTACATATATAAGCTTTAATAATTCTAAAACTTATGTGAGATTTTTAAAGCTTATTGTTATGTAAGCTTTTTAAGTAGACTTTTAAATATATTTTCGAGTTAAATCAAGTTTTATGTGGGTTCAAATTTAAACCATGAAAAAAGCCTTACTCATACATATTCATCCAAAATTTAATTTGGTCTAGCTTATTTTTGAGATACCCATGTGAAGTGACTGTTAGCAATAACTATTCTATATGGCAAGAGTTCATAATTAGCTTAAGTAGGAGGTGGTAACACCTTTGAGTTTTCCAAAGTACCAAGCAATTGAATTTAAAAAAAGTAATAAAAAAGGTATTTATAATAGTTAGGTCTTGACAAAATTTTTTTAAAAAATGAATTTTAATATAAATATAAATTTCAATTACAAATTAAAAGTTACCCTTCAAATTTACATATTTTATTTATAATTGAAACTATTTTTACTATTATATAAATTACTATATGCAATTTATTTTTTTAAAAAATATAAATTGCCGACCAAACTGACATGTATTTTATTGGAACTTAACTTTTATTCTCAAAAAAAAAAAAAAGTGATGCAATTCTCCTTTGCAACAGTTTCAATTGTACAAATTGCGTTGTGCCTTTTTTTTTCTTTTTTTTTTTTTTTTTGACGTTTCAGTGTTGTGGATGAAGGTGTACAATGAGTGGGATGTGGGACGTGAAAATCAGAATGGAAATCGGAATAGGATCCTTTCATGGCCACTCTCTCAGTGTTTCTCATTATCTTCAAATCATGTGCATTAAAATAATCAGTTGATCTATAATCACTACATTATAAAGATTTTAAAAAGAAAAAAAAACATCAAAGTCCCCCCAAAAAATTAATGATATTTACTCAATCCGTTAAAAATGTAAGATTTTTTTAACTGAATCTCACATTTCAATGAAGTAGTTATCTACTTTCAAATTAACCTCATCTTTCTATATTTACCTATATTAAACACTTTATAATAAATATAAAATTATTATCAATAAAGGTACTTTTAAAAAAAGGACAATTATTATACTTTAAAAAATTAAAAATATCTTATATTTTTTAACATTCAACTTTTTAAAAAATACATTACATTTTTAAATGGATAGAGTATATTTTTGACAAAAATTCCTAAAAAATGGGTGTAAAAATTGATTCAGTTAGCTACAAATAGAAATCTTAATTATAAATTGAGAGCTATATTTAAAATTTAAATACGTTATTTTTAATTACAACATTTGAATTTGCAATTATTTAAATAAATATTTTCAACTTATTTGCGAAAGAAAAAATTACCAACAGTCTAACTGACATTAATTCCTTTTTTTTAGGATTTTATTATCATTCATTGTGTTGACATATTTTTCTAAAGGTAACTCTCAATTTACAATTAAGATTTATGTGCAACTGTCTATCAACTTTTACAAAAAACAATTTTTCTATTTCATAGTTTGGTATCCTAAAAAATTTGAAAGTATTATCGCACTCCATCTAAATCAATATGAACTCCTGTTTTGTAAGATCATTATTATCAATAATGGTTTCACATGTATCTCAAAGATGCCTTGATCATATTTATTTAATATGATGATATATTTTATGATTTAAACTTGAAACTTTAGAATAAATCGATTCAATTTTCTTAATTAGTTGAAGCAAGCACCCCTTAATATATTTTTTTATAGAAAATTTTACCATGATAAAATTATCATTAAATTTTTCGCACTTTACTGTCATTGTTTTAAAATCATTGTGACATGAACGGATTATTTGAGTGCATTGAGTTTGAAGATTCAGAGAGCTGCTGAGAAAGGCGAGGACGGGGGGATCCGGACTGTGGAAATTCAACGCACCTTTAAATTGAGGGTCACAGCATTGGGTTGATGTTCCTGCAGGATGGTTTGCCTTGCACGGGGGTTACGTGTAATTTTGTCTATCCCTTGCTCAGGCTCGTGGACATAATCAATTCTAATCTGGGTTCAGGATCATGATTCACTGCTAAGATGAAGTGTAGTGGGTGGCCCTAACCCCGAGTTTGTTCAATTACTTTATCTGACACAAAGAGGAGCGGGCAAGAAAAGAATGAGAATGTTAACGTTAACTGCTCGGGTTTTCCTTGCAAGCCACTCCTCATTTTTGATACTTGCCTGAGGCCATTTTGAAGTTTAACATGTCAATTTATCTTCAGTTTTCACGTTTTGCAAGATGTACTTTACAAATTCAACTATTTTCTACATTAGAATTGACACTCTATTATAATTGCGGCAAAAATTATTGTAATAAATGTGCGTGTCAAAATCCATATAAAATATACAATTTATTTCTACATTTGATATTCACAAACTATAAATTAAATAATATAATTTGCCAGCTTTTTCTTTTTCTTTTTTGCGCTAAGCTACATATCAAATCAAATATATTGGATCCAGAGAAGGCTAATATTCTTAGATTTGCCTTGTTCCGGTTTTTCAGAATAAGTCTTCCAAATCGCTAAATGTTGACTTGTCTGTGTAGATTGTCTAGACCCTGGATTCTAAACTAGACGGGAAGGTGTCATGAATTTGAAACTTTCTCAGATGTCGTACGTTATCTCTAAGTATTTCCCTATTTTCGAATATAAGGTTTTAGAGTTCAAGTATATAGATTAAGAAATACAGCTAATATATTTAAATAGTGACTGTAATATGTTAAAAATTAGACTTATATATAGGTCAAAAGTCAAAGTAAGTTAAAAATTGACCTATATTTAGCATCATGTCATGTATATCATGGGAGTAATTTGTAACAGCAACCATTCTATGAAAAATGTTTGCATAGATTGATACATCATATTATTCATAATCTATTCAATAATAATATGTCATGTTAACACCAATTAAATCATATAAAATTTTGTGTATTATTATTTTTAATGATTTTATTTTTAAAATTTCTCTTCTTTTTTTATTTTATTATCATCAATGATAAAATAAATTTATATTTACATCTATTTGATATTATATATTTTTATTGGATAAACATGACATAACATGTTGTATCAGGTATGTACAAAAATTTCTTACCATTTTAGAATGTGTATCATTTGCTAACGCCTAATGGCTTTGTTGCCTGTATTAGAAATATAGAATACAAGTCAAGGGAAAGAAAGCCATTAATTAAGTCAAATTTTTTTTTTGCCAAACTAATTACATCAAGAATTGGCCAAAGAAAAGAGACTTAAATAAAAGAGAAAATTAATTTTTTTAATCCTTTAAATTTTTAACTCATTTGATATACAATCTATCAATCATGATTGATTGTAATTTAATTCCTCAATTATAATTTATTGTAACTTAATTCTTTAACTTTTTATTCACTTATAATTTAATCCTTAATCTTTAATTTTTTTTTAAAATATTCTTATCAAATAAGAGGAATAAAAAGTAATCATATGTTGCTTTAAAATTTCATTCTCTTATTCTTTGATGTGAGATCTAAGTTAATATAATAAAAATTAATAAAAATTGAGGAACTAAGTTATAAATGAATTAAAAGATAAAAAATTGAGTCATAAATAAATTAAAAATTAAAAAATTAAACTATAAATAAATTAAAAATTGAGAGATTAAATCACAATAAATTAAAATTAAAAAACTGAATTATATAAATAAGTTAAAAGATAAAGTATTAAAAAAATAATTTTTTTAAATAAAAAGCAGAAGAGGTTAAAAAAAAAAAGATCGAAAGAATTGGCCAAAAAGATGTTATTAAAACCGCCTTCAGAGTTGGTAAACAATTCCACTCTCAAGCCAGCTATGAGCGACATTGCCCGTCTAAAAATCGAGCACTGACCCTTCCTTTTGCTCATCTGTCCCTGTTATTCTGTTCAAGTTTTTCTCCGTTTGTTAGGAACCAGCGCACTTATTTGAATTTGGGAGCTGAAACCTTCCTATTTCTGATCCCATTGCTGGGTACCCGAAGCGCCATTTTTCATACCATACTGAGAATTTTGTGTTGAAGTCAAATCTTCATTCTTGTTATCAAACGGAGGATGACAGGTCGGGACCCATCTTCTGCCTGTGTCGAGGTTAAAGTTAATCCACAGCGGGGGGGCAACATAATCCGTCCGGGTGGTGCACCCACTCCCCCGCCAGCGTCGCGAAGGGTCTCTCCATTGCCGGTTGATCCTATTAGGCGGGACTCCAGGCTGTTCAAGAGGTGGTTGCCATGGCTGGTGCCATGCTTTGTGACCGCCAACATCACTATATTCATTCTCACTATGTACGTAAACAATTGTCCCAAGCATTATGTGGGCGATTCTTGCTTTCCTAGCTTTCTGGGCAGATTCTCGTTTCAGCCCCTTAAAGAGAATCCTCTCTTTGGCCCTTCTTCATCAACGTGAGTTTTGTTTCTCCCTTAGCTTGCATTTGATTTTCTGAAGAAAAATTACATTGCCCACGGATGAGGGTTATTATCAGGGGTCAATAACATAATCTGAAGTTCTCCAACTTCGCGGTAATTTGGATCATTTATCAGGGGTCAATAAGGTGTAGTATCTGCAGAACAAATGCTATCATATAGTTTCTCCAGCTGTTTCCACCATTAAGTTATATCTGCTTTGCTTTAGTTTTCAGTTTTCACATTACCTAGTATTTGTGGGCAATGGCGGTGACCCTAGGCCAGGGGTGCAATATTTTTTGGGCTTCAGCTAAACATATTTAAAAATTTTTGGAACTCAAATATTTTTAAAATAAAACTGAGGGGTGCAAAATATTTGAGTCAAGGTTCAAAATAGTGAAGCATATAATCCCTTCTTGTAATTTTGTCCGAGTTTAGGGGATGCATTGGCCCTCCTGAATTATACCTAGCGCCGCCCATATTTGTGGGATGGTTTGGTCTTCTTATGTTACAAATTCCCATTATTTTCTTCTGGTTAAGACCGATTTTTCAAAATATATGCTTGTCTAAAAATTCATAATTTATCTCAGTTTTTATGTCAATCATTTTAAAATATGCATAGTAAATTGGATTTGCAGCTTTGTAGTCATTTTTTGTTGGACTTGTTTAATATCCTACCGAAATCTATGTACTACTCAGACTAGAAAAGATGGGTGCTCTAGAAGTGGACAAAGTGGTTCGTAGACACCAAGCCTGGCGCCTGATATCTTGTATGTGGTTGCATGCTGGCATTATCCATGTGCTTGCCAACATGTTGAGTCTTCTCTTTATCGGAATCCGGCTTGAGCAAGAATTTGGGTTTGGTATGATTTTGGTACTCTGCCATCTATATTCCATGCGTGAATTTTATCTATGGCAATTATTTAAGTGTCAATTTCTATTTGTTACAATAATGCTTTGTAAGAGCACAACAAATATGTATGATTAGAGCTAACAAATAAATAAAAATTTTGCTTCACAATTTCAGATTGTAATTCACAGTTTTTCTTTTGTAGTTCGAATTGGATTGCTGTATTTAATATCTGGTTTTGGGGGAAGTTTGTTGTCTGCTTTATTCATACAATCAGGCATCTCGGTTGGTGCTTCGGGTGCATTATTTGGCTTATTGGGAGGCATGCTATCAGAGCTTTTAACAAATTGGACAATTTATGCTAATAAGGTGAACGAAGATGTGTGAAATTTTATGGTAATTACTGATAAATAATCTGCTTTGTCAACGTGCCACAGTAATTTATAGTATTTTGGTCCTTCCCTTTTCTGTTGTGCAGTGTGCTGCATTGTCGACTCTTATTGTCATCATTATAATCAATTTAGCTGTTGGAGTACTTCCCCATGTAGATAATTTTGCTCATATTGGAGGGTTTATCTCTGGTTTTCTTCTTGGATTCGTCTTTTTGGTTCGCCCCCAGTTTAAATGGGTTAGCCAATCTCGTTCTGCATATGCTGCGCCTCTTGTGATTTCTAAAAACAAACCTTATCAGTACGTGCTGTGGGTAATCGCTTTCATGCTACTGGCTGCCGGGTAATTTCTCACTCTTTTCCTTTTCTTAACTCATTGGGACTCACTAATGCTTGTTTTTCAAACTGTAATGGTATGACATTGAAGAAATTTGAATGGGACAAGTTGTTTAATAGTTGCCATGTGGGATTCTGCTCATGAGTACTTTTGTTCTTTTAAAGGTTTTCTTTCTATTTTAGTAATGATTCCTTGTCCTTATTCTCTTGTTATGTATTTCCTTCCCCTGCTTGTGTGCTGTGCGTCCTCTTTACTCAATCCAAAAGAAAAATGCAGTCATGCTTCGTTTGGATGGAGAGAGAATTTGAGAGGAAAGGAAACTAGGTGAGAAAATAGGTGGGAAAACAAGTTCCCCCTGTTTGGATGAAGTAAGAAAAGTGGGAGGAAGGAAAAGTAGGGGAGAAAATGAGGTGTAGGACCCACCACATTTTCTCCCCAAATTTTCTCTCCACACATGGAGAGATATTGAGAAGAAAAATTAATTCCACTCTTTACCCTCATGTCGGTTTGCTTTTATTTGTTCTCTCTACCTTCACCATCACCTTCAATCCTTCTTCACAAAGGACAATTATCTTCGACACTCTCCCCCTCTTGCATTTGCATCTTCCACCTTGTTCCTCATCTCATCTTCTCAATTCTCTGTGTCTCATTGACGTTGTTGAATGTCCTGGACTTACTGACATTTGTATCCCATTCTGCTCTGTAAAGCACTATACATACATGCCCCTCTTCGTTAGTTGCTGTCATCAGCATCTAATTTCTATACATATATATTTATTAAATGGCGAGGCAAACTGCAAATACTAATAATGTTGAAAGGAGTAAAAATAGCCTTTCAAACATACTTCTGGACAAAAATAGGTGTAATGTTATGGTGATCATAAAATACGAATTATTAAAGTAAAAAAATATTTTTACCAATAGCTAATTTGATTTTAAATTGTTTTGATGATGTTAATTTTAATATAATTTTTGTCTTCAATTTATTTTGAGGAACATATTACATGAAACATGACATATTTTGATATGAGGGTATTATAGTCATTGTGTTGCTGCTCTTTTTTTTTTTTTCCTCCTTGTTTCTTTTGTTCATCCAAATATGAGCAGTGATAACATTTTCTTTCCAGTTTTCTCTTCTCTATATTTTTTTCCTCTCAACTTTTCTTCTCATTCAAATAAAGGGTTAATTTCATTGCTGGAGATTGCTTATACACATGTTCCTCTGTAGCAAGATTAATGATTCATGTTGAAATGCATATAAATCTGGAAATTAGGGCTTGTAAGACTAAATATCTTATACCATGTCAAACATATAGTGTTTCAATGCCTCACGTCATCATATCAAGACTCACAAATCTGAAAGTTGAATAATTTTGACAGATTGATAACTGGGCTGGTTCTGCTCCTTCGAGGGGTTAATCTGAATAACTACTGTTCATGGTGTCATTTTTTAAGTTGCGTCCCCACGTCAAAATGGAGCTGCAAATCTCAACAAGTTTACTGTGAGGTTAGTGATGTTGCTGCTGTTTTCTCGTGTACGTTCCATTGATGCAACTCCCTGGAGCTTTAAGCTCTAATGATAGACTAGTGGGGAGTTTAACTGAGTGCAAATAAAATAGATTTTAAAGTTTACTTGTCTCCTTCTCGGAGAAAAAAATGAGAAAAGATAAGCATGCTCTTCCCCTTTGATTATTAGTTCGGTCTTGCTCCCAAGAAAATTGAGTTACTTAAAACATTATTTACAAGTATGGGCCTGAAAATCTAGTTTGGTGGTCTGAGTATAATGTTCCATAGCCAAATCGATAGATGATTTGATGAGGTCCTACTTCAAATGTTTGAGGGGACTGTTATGCAGACACCCCAAATCCTTTTCGTTTACTTATCGCAATAATGAATAATCTTTTCTGCTGTCATGATGCAGTCAACCCAAATGGGAAAGCAACTTAACATGACATGCTTGAGCAATGGAAGAAGTCACATTTATCCGCTGTCCAGCAGTAGTCCTTCCCAGGTTCAACAGCTTTGTTCTCAACTTTGCAATTGATAGATACACACATTCAGGAGGTTAATCATATTTCCTGACACACCAAGTCATTCATCTAGCAAACGATTTCTTCTTGCTTGGGCAGAGATCTTATTCCTGTTTTAGCAACGGTGATTGTTATTATCACTATCACGAGTGTATTCTTGTTGACACCGTTGCTTCTTGGCTATGATTTGTATGTGCAAGTATTCCTTTGTACCAGGAAGGTGCACGGTGAGAGTTGTATTAGGTTATAATGGAAAAAAGAACTTTTGGAGATGTGAATTGCTGTCAAAAGGATTGCTCAGAGCAAGGTGCATTGCTTCAGATTCTTTGTTGAGGATCTTGTACAGTTCTTTGTGTAAAGCTATGGCTAATAATCTAATATCGATGTTTTGTTTTGGGATTCCCTCCTTTTTTCGAGAAAATGTATGGCGCCGAAGAGGGAGGTGGGGCAAGGGGGAAAGCGTTTCATTTCTTTGTTTGTTTTTTTTTTTTTTTTTTGGGTCCAATCAGAACTCTGAACTCCTAATCAGTCAAAGGAAAACAGATACAAGCAAAAGGAAATACAAAGAAACAGCTCTCATCATCCATTATCTCCTGCTAAAAATGGTTTATGATCAAAGATACAAACGTTATCAGCTAAGGAATGGCCAAAGTTGGCTAAGCCGTCAGCAGTATGGTTAAGCTTCCTAAGCTTGAAATTAATAGTTACATTCCAATCCCAATTCAACATGTTAATAGTCCCCCGGATAACGTCCTCAAAAGCGTTTCATTTCTGTCACTGGAGTTGACAAGAGGACCTGCTCTGGCAAGAGAAAGCAGGGCTTTCAACATCTTAATTATAGGCGATTTTCAGAAGCTGGAAAAATGAGTTGACATACAAAATCAAATTCAGGTTTGAACCTCCGAAATGTAACTATGAGGCGCATGAGACGCAGACTAGCTAGTTTACGTCTTAGTAGTCCACGGTCAGGGGGAAGCCGAGAGTGTCATCTAGCAGTTTGAGATTCAGGAGAGCAATTGCTTGAATATATGTTCCAATTTATTACTTATTACAGCTACAAGGTAGCCCAGCCCTCAAGATTTTGATTGGAAGGATGATTTGGGAATTATAGTGGGAAAAAGAAGCTTAGTGTTCCGCTCATCACAGCCACCAACTGTTAGTAGTAGCATGATGATCGCTATCCTGACTTTCAATCTCATTTAGGATGGTTTGCATTTCTTCGAACAATCTTTCGGTTCTTCAAGTTCTTTTCACCTCCTCATTGTTTAATGTTGTGTTTGGATCAGAAATATTTGGGTTTGGTCAAATTCATTATTTAAATAGATAAAACTTTGATCAAATCCATTAATTTTTTAAAATTTCACATATTTATTCTAATTTAGTCATTCACTGCTCAAGTTTTTATAGCTCCACATTTTATGCTAATTGACTAAAAGATTTTAAATACATAAATGACTAAATTTTCAAATTTTAATCAATGAAGTGGGTTGTCTACCCTACTTCCTTTTCACACCATTCTTTTCACACCATTCTTTTCTCTTTCCATGCAATAAAACCTGAATCGTATAACTTAGCTATCTCTGACTTTATGCAGTTAGCCTTACCTCATTTACATTTCAATTCTTGAGAGAGGGAGAGGGAGAGTGAAGTACTTTGATGATGCAAGGGAAGTGCCTTCTGATATCTTCACGAGAAAGTAAAGTGATTTTCTATCTGATCTGAGCGTATGGGGGCAATCAAGGATGCACTTATCCCATAGTTCCTGGGCCATGAGTGGGCAGAGCGAGCACATGTTATGTAATCCTTCTTGATTCATTTATAAATTATATGTTAAAAGTTGATTTGATTTTATTTATATATTATGCTGTGATTTTTTAGATAATATTTAATAAGTATTTTTAAAATTAATCTTTATGAGAGAGAAAAAGTAACATGACATTATGTTTTAAATTTATTATATAGGGGTAATTTGAAATTCTACACACTTTTATTCTTTATATTTTTTTTATTGATATTAATGAGATTAATAAAAATGATTTATAAAAAAAATGGGAAGAGAGTATTTGTCAAGAGCTGGCTGAATTGATAGAATCTGTGAGGATGCCCACAAGTTCTTAATCTCTTCAGACTTGAGCACTCCCAATTATCAGATTTCTGTTTTGCTGGAGAGCTTCAGTTATTTACCTATGCTATTCAACAACCCTTTTCTGCCCCTATAAACCTAATCTTAACCCTGCAATTAATAATGTTTGTCGATAGTTGACTCAATGCTTTCTCCTTCGCATATACTAAATTCTATCCACTCCGCGCTGCCATATCACCTTCCATTTCTTAATTTTGTTTCATCAGATTCTATGGCCCCATGTTGCCTTTTGTAAGAGGACGTTAATTCGGTTGTTGCAGTTGGTGGTACCTCATCATATGCTTCGGGCTAGATGTCCAAGAACAACGCTACAAGGAATGAAATTTCTTACCTTTCCCCTCACCCCAAAAGGAGAAACGAAAGAAAAGGAAAAGAGAAAGTGATGCTGCCGCTATCGCATTACAAAACAAGAAATGTTTCGAGACATGTGGCAGCGTTGAGGGTAAAGTTAAAAAAAATCCCCTTCCCCTCAAGGTTGAATTATGAAGATAAAGCTTTGTCGGTAAGTTGGGATGCAAAATGCCGATGAAATAGGATCCATGATATAGCATAACGGTCCAAAGAAGAAAGAATGCTGCATGCCTCTACATCCTCCAAATTTCCAAATGCAGCATTTCAATTTTCAGCACTTGATGCTTCATTTTTTTTGGTACCGCTGAAGGGATCTGCAAAATCTTACTGACACTATTTTTCGCAATAATAATGGTTGAGTCGGAATTCCCCTGGTCACATGGAATTACAAGCACATTCCGGCTCTCATTCCTTCAATAGTTAAATTTTACCGCATATGACAATGCATGTCTGAGCTAGCAAGGCTTGTGCTGGGAACTCAGCAAACCAATATATTAACTCCGGGCAAAATTATTAGGTGGACATCAGTTGGGTAGATTAACCCAATAGATGACTGAGATTTCAGATGGCGTCGCTCTGATCTTTAAGTAGAAAAGTGCACGTGGAACTAATAGTTCACGCGTGAATGAACATGTTATTCAGCCTCGCCAACTTTGGAGTGCTCAATCTTCCTGGCGGTAGCGGTAAGCCCGGGCAAGACTGATCTTTTCATTCAAAAAATAGACAAGGAAAATGAGGACGACTCGAGTAATGTGTGACATCTATTCAACGACAAAACCCCATTTAGAAATTATCTGAACGAATCCCCGAGACATCGCCAAATGTTATGTCTGGGATAGTTTCGCATTGTATATTTGATTTTCATGATCCACACTTACAATTACAAGCTGTTGTTACTGTATCATGGCATGCATTCTAATTCCTTTTCTTTTCCCTCCTTTTTTGTTTTGATTCAAGAGTAATGAGTATCATTTTGCTTGACAAGCTTGTCCTAACTAATTAATGTCGACAAATTAAGTGATTTTTTTTTAAATGAGAAAGGCTATAATAAAAACCGTGCAAAAGATAACCATAAAATTATGTCAATGCTCAAAAAGTTATTTGCATTTTAGAGATGATTCATCTAAAATTTTAATATCTAAACTATCATTGAGGGTTTGATGTGTAAGTCAATCTGTGCAATTATTGACTTTTTTATAAATATAATTAAAAATAATCAAGTTTTTCATAATAAAATCTCAAATCTTTGTGATAGTCTTAGAGAGAGAGAGAGAGAGAGTGAGAGTGATTTGCATCTCCATTGTCTTTTCCTCAACTCTTTCCCAGTCCTCCAGTTATTCCTAAATGAAGGACTCTGTTCCATAAAACCAGCATCTAAGTTAGGCTTGTATCTGGTGACGACTCAACTATGGGATAGGAGTTTTTAGTAGGCTTTTCTAATGTCCTTTTTAATGTTCAAACTTTTCAATCTTGTTTTCCAATTTTTTTTTTAATCATTGGCTTCAACATTAATCAAAAGACATTTCTGTTTTTCCTCTGGTGGTATGTGAGCTGTCTTTCTATTCCTGTATCCTGAAGAGGTTTTGTCAGTCTCGATCCGTTCGGGCCACATGCACTCAAGTTGTGACAAACAGGATCGTTCACGGCTTGATTTATTGAATTTTTATATTGAAGGAAAAACAGATGGACACAAGACCACGGAAAAGGATGGGATTGGATAATATATAGTGGGGCAGGTGATCCGGTGGAAGTTGGCAAAGGATATTGATGCTCACATGCCATTGCTTTGTGTTTATGCTGGCCATCACTTGTCACCCAGACTGTTTTTGGTGGCAAGGCATGTGAGGGATATACATGGTCTCACGCCCTCACGACGCAAGGGCAACGGCTTCCGATTTCAACCATCTTGAAATGATTGAAAGTGGTGGGGATAAAGAATAAGAAAAATGAAGAGCAAGGAAAGTGAGGGGTTTTTTTTTTTAAAAAACATAAAGCCACAGTAAAAACTGTGTGAAAAAACCAAAATCAAATCATATTTAAAGCCATCAGATTTTTACAATCAGTTGACATACTATCAAATAAGATAATGATAATTTTTATTAAAAATTTTGTAGGTTAAAAGATCAATACATTGATTCACTTCTCCAAAAACATAATTGGTGGTGAGAGACAAAAACAGGAAAGTAGGAGGCCACAAGGCGCTCATTGCTGACAAGCTCACCTCTCTATCTACTTCCTCATGACAATTTCTTTCCTCAATACCTACCCCTCACTCCTTCCCTCGACTCATGTTCTTCCTCTACTACGTGTAACCCCCAACTACATTTCAGTTCCATTCAGTGCCTGTAAGACCCCGTCCCTAACAAAATTATGGCAATTTAAATCTTCCCTTACAAACTTTATTATCAATGACTCTTTTATTTTATTTCACTACGCATGGGTTCTACTCTGCACTGTTCCCTGCGGTTTCCTATCCAGTGTCATATTCTTTGCTCAACATACACACCCATTTAGCACCATTTTGTGATCATGTCACTCACACGGGTGAGATAGGGGACCAGCACGGCCTTGACTTTTTCTAACTTTTTAATTTTTTTTAATAAAATATAAGAATTATATATTTTTGTTCCCTCAAAGTTGGCCAGAGATATTATGTGTAATTCTCATTTCAATTCCGTGATAATCTTTTATGCATGTATAGTCCAATTATTTCAATAACTTTAAGATATAGTTGGCTTAGAATTTACTTATTTTTAATAAGATAATGTTATAGTTGCTCTTAAAGCGTTAATATCATTTAATTTTATTTTCATTTTATATTCCATAAAAGAAATTATAAGAATTATTACTAACAAATTTTGTTAAGTATTGCAACAAAAATTTCAATACATGTTAAATTTTACTTCCTCCGTTTAAAAATATAAAGTATTTTTTTAGAAGTTAAATATTAAAAAATGTACAATATTTTTAGTTATTCGATGTATAATCATTGCCTTTTTTAAAATATCTTTATTGATAATAAATTTATATTTATTATAGGGTATTTAATAGGGCTAAATATAAAAAGATTGGATTAGTTTAAAAGTAGCTAATTACTTTATTGAGAATGAAATTCAGTTAAACGGAGAGAGTATATACTTAATATCTATCATAAACTTACTTATCTAAAAGTTAAAAAGTTATGATTAATATATATTTTTCTTAAAAAATACTTTTTTGTAATAACCATAATATTGAAATTTTATTATATGAATGCTTTGTACTGTGATATATTTAAATCTTATTAACATAAGAATTTATAACAATTGAACATCATTACTATGTTTATATATTTATTTACTACAATCATCAATTAAAAGAATTAAACAGTAACTTCAATAGATAAGTAATAAAGTTTTTTTAGATTGAGCAAAACTTTAAATTCTAATTATGCAATTAAATTACTCAATGTTCATGAGAAAAACAAAATATTTGCTAATTTAATAATAATTTATATTGAAAATAAATTCTTACAAAATTTTATTTTAGACATGATAATTAATTATTCTCATATTATAAAAAACTGATGAACAAAAATTTAAAAATAAAAATATATACTTATTTTTGTTATAGATATATGTAAAATAAAATGTAAATATATGCTTTAAAATATTTATATTATATTAATAATATACATATATAAATTTAATTATTATTATTATATATATTTTTCCATCTCAATTTTTCCATTAAATTTTTTTTGGCTAAGTCTTAGTCACTCGTTTGAAATTTAACGTTACTCTATAAAACCAACTTTATTGTTTTTGACTTAATCAAAATATATTCTACACCTCAGTAAAAATATATTAAAAACAATATAGTAAAAATTGATATTCATTCATTCACGCTCCAATATAGTAAAAATATAGAAGAGTGTGTCTTAAAAACATTCAACTTGTATCCATCCCAATTAATTTGATATTGTCTCGATTATATTGAGATGGGTCTTGTCCCAACTCAAAAACAATCGAGACAGTATAAGAAAGGAGTTTGAAATGAAATAGAATATGAGATTACCATCAAGATGTCTCGTCCCGAGTATTGTATATATTATTTTAATTTTAAAAATATACATTAAATATATTAATTTTATTAATATAATTTATAGTTGTATTTATTATATCAATTATAATTTTAATAGTTAAATTCTTATATAAAATTAAAATTTTTTATATTGATAATTTTAATGACATAGATTAAATATTTATTTATTCAATAACTTTTATGTATATCATATTTTTTGTTTTATTTTTGGAAGAATAAGTAGCTTAACACGTCCCAACTAAAGTAGAAGATAATGATTTGGTGTTGCGTTTGACCTGTATGTTGTCACTGCTCTTATAACCTAAAAATCACTTATAATTGCTATCACAATATATAGCTGTAATTAATATAATTCAATAATTAATGTTAAATTATTATAATTTATGTATTTGTATTATTTTAATTTTAAACTTAATAAATTATATAATTTAAAATTTTAATAAATATCATTATACAGATCTTTCTCCGACATTGGCCAATTTATCAAGATGATAGGATATTTTGATTCTATTTTAATTTTTAAGAGAGTGAGATGACTTTTAAAATGAGATATAAAATAAAAATTCATTCTTAATTTTTTTTGTTAAGATGAGACACAAGATAAGGATATCCTCTGAACGCTGTTAGTGCGCCCCACAATGTCAAGGGATTCTTTCTTTCTTTCTTTTCTGGTTAAAAAAAAAAAAAAAACAGTGTAAAGTGATTCCAAGTTTTAAAACAAAGTTGGTTCGGTAAAATGGGGGGCTGGGTGAAAAAGAGAATGGGGCGCGAGTAAAGTGAGGAACATAGGATTCGGTTTTGGAGATGAGCGCCGTGCTCAGCATCAAAACACTGCGTTTTGCAGTGTTTTTTTTTTCTTTTTTTAAACCACAAAATTATTATAATAACAATAAATAAATATTATAAAATTATTAATTTAATATTTTATAAATAAATAAATTTAATTTTTTAAAATTTGATTTGAATTGTTCATATATAAATTTTGATCCAAATAGCTTAAAATTGCAGTAAAGAAAAAATAGAACTTTAACTAAATATAGTTTATAAAATATTTTTTATTTTATTAATTTTGCATTGTTATTCATTTATGAGAGATATTATCATTTAAAGCATGGCCAAATATTAAATAAAAGTACTTCTTTTTAACAAGAATTTTAATATTATTTTATTACGTTGTCAGAAACTATATCATTTTATTTGACTCAATTTCTATTTTAAACTTTTTATATCATTTTTTTGTAATTTTTTAGTAAAGTATCAAATTGTTTAGACCAAAATTTTTATTTAAATCATTCATATCAAATTTTAACAAGTTAAATTTATTTATTTATTAAATATTAAAATAATAATTTTATTATTTAAAAAAGTAAAAAAAAAATGCTGCAAAACGCAGTGTTTTGGTACTGAGCACCACGGCGCTTATCTCACTGAATCGGAGAAACATATTAGGTTTCAACTTTCAAGAAGTTTCTTCGAGTTTGAAGGCCATGGCTGTTTGTTGGGCGCGTGGGGCTCGAGGGGGGTTAGGCCAACGGGGCCCCCTTAAAGCAAACAACCCCAGGAGCGTCCTCTGAGGCCCGATATTTACGGCTGCGGGGGCCCACCCCACCTCCGCCATTTACAGTCGCAATCCGTAACTGGAACCTCTTTTTTTTTTTTTAGAAAAAAAAGAAGAAAAAGAAGAAAAATCGTTTCAATATCCTTCTCCACTTTTTTGTTTTTGTTTTTTATAACAAAAGCTTTAGGGTAATTGATTTTCAGGAACCCTTACAGTTGAGTTGAAGACATGCCTTCATTCTAAAATGCTGAGTTATTTACATATCATCAGATAAGGTAAGACATTGACAGCAACTTGGAATCACAGTTTTATAAACTATACTCATAAAATGCCCATTAGGGAGACCAAATTATAACTCTTTTATTTAAAATAAAAAATAAATCATTTTTAAATAATTTAAAATTTCATAAAAAAATATGTTGTTTTATAGAATAGAAGTGATTTTATATTTGATTACAATAATAAAAAGTGATTATTAATTATTTATTTTTAAAATTTTATTCTATCTTTTTTATTTTTATTTTGTAAAAATAATTTATTGTTTAAATATTTTAAAATTGTATGATGTCTTCGTGTATCTCATATTTTTAAAACGTCTTTTCTCTCTTCTACGTTATCAAACTATTTTTAGAAACTAACTAATCACACACTTCTTAAAATAATAAAAATATAGAAAAATTATATTAAAATTTTACATAAAAAAATTAATTACTACAAGATCTATCGACAATTGAGCTAAGCTGCATTGACAAAATAATCAATTGCCTACACAATTTAGCATAGTTGTCAATAAATTTTGTAGTAATTAATTTTTATATGTAAAACTTGATTGTAATTCTCCCTAAAAATATTTTTTATTTCAATTATTTTTAAAAAGTTAAATAAATATTATTAAAACCTCATAAAATAGATTGTTTTTTCATAAAATAAACTGAATTAAAAGTCTATGTTTAGACTTTTTTTTTTTAAGTCTGGTTCATTTTTTCATGCATTCATCATCTTTGTCTAAAATGTTATATGGTTAATGGGTAGATTTTAATCTCACCCTCCTTGACCAATTCAAGTACGCTCCGCATCGCACACGAGCCGTTTTCCTTAATCCTTGACCAATTTAGACGTGATCCTCTTCAGCCCTCGTGAAATAAAAGAGTGCAGTCGCGAACGACAGAGGAAATGTGGAATATCCGCCTAGCCTCGAGAGACTTGTTTCATTTACTCGTCTCTGCAGCATGATCTTTTATTATTTCTCCCCCTTTTATTTTATCGTTGGAGACTACGTTGCAGGGTAGACGAGGCTAGGAAAGTGGAAAGACACTGCCCTGCAAGCACTCGCTTTAAAGAGCGTAACAGAAAACCCTCAATGGGATAAAGGTCCCTCGGAGCCTCATCGGACGGAATGGCGTTAGTTTGAAATTATTGAAGAATGAAGATGTCAAGATAATGAATGAACCGAACGAGCACGGAAGGTGCGGGTTACGCGCCTACAACACGTTAGGAGGTGTGAAAAAGCAGGGATGAAAGAGATAGATAGAAGGTGACATTTATTTAATTTAATAAATTGAGAGGTAAGTTTGAAAATTCCAAAATTTGCCCCGCACCTCTTCCTCTCGGCACCTCCATAAGTAGTCCTCCCTCCTTCCCACGAGCCCCCAGACAGCCAGTCGTCTCTCATCCCTAAATCTCTCTCTCTAGGTTCACTGACATGGCTATGGCTTCTCTGGTCTTCGTCGCATTTGTTATCTCCTTCGCCCTAACGGTCAAGGCCAGAATCCCGGGCGTTTACACCGGGGGCCCTTGGCAGAGTGCTCATGCTACCTTCTACGGAGGAGCCGATGCTTCCGGCACCATGGGTCTGTATCTCCTCTGCCGTCGACGCTTTTTATTTAGTAATGTGCCTCCCGTTTATGCTTAATCACTTGAGATTGTGAGTGTTGGGCAGGTGGAGCCTGTGGATACGGTAACCTCTACAGCCAAGGGTACGGCGTGAACACGGCGGCGCTGAGCACTGCACTGTTCAACAATGGGCTGAGCTGCGGAGCGTGCTTCGAGATAAAGTGCGCAGATGACAGGCAATGGTGTCACTCGGGAAGCCCGTCCATATTCGTCACGGCCACTAACTTTTGCCCGCCCAACTACGCTCTTCCCAACGACAATGGCGGCTGGTGCAACCCTCCTCGCCCCCACTTTGACCTGGCCATGCCCATGTTCCTCAAGATTGCCGAGTACCGTGCCGGCATCGTCCCCGTCGCCTACCGCCGGTAACGTCCCTGTTCTCTCTTGCCCCCATAACCCAATTCCGATACCGTAGACCGTGGGTTCTGTTCGGTTTGCCTCTGCCTTGGAATTACTTGAGGGGATTGATCGTTGCTTGTTGGCGAATTTACCAATATACCCATATTTCAAGGTTCGAGTCACGAGTTGAGTTGTTTTTGCCCATAACCACAAACCAACGTCACGTCAGCTAGTTATCCAAGTTTAAAGAAGCATTTAGGCAGGGTCAAATCCCGCGACCGAGGCTGTCAGTGGAGGGCCACCGGCTCCCCTCGATGCTCGACTCGAGTGCTGATAGTTAAAACTAATAAGTAGTAATTAGAAATATTGATGTTGTTTAATTGAATGTACGAACGTGGAATGCACGCAGGGTGGCATGCAGGAAGCAAGGGGGAATAAGGTTCACCATCAACGGCTTTCGATACTTCAATCTGGTGCTGATCACGAACGTGGCGGGAGCGGGGGATATAGTGCGGGCGTACGTGAAGGGATCGAGGTCCGAGTGGATGCCCCTGAGCCGGAACTGGGGTCAAAACTGGCAGTCAAACGCCGTATTGGTGGGACAGTCGCTGTCGTTCAGGGTCACGGGCAGTGACAGACGCACTTCCACCTCTTGGAACATCGTCCCTTCCAACTGGCAATTCGGTCAAACTTTCACCGGCAAGAACTTCCGGGTTTGATTGCATTTTGTCTATGGTAAAGCCGTAGGGAATGCTGAAGCGGCTATATCAAAGGAGTAGCCCGCAGCTGATTAGTGGTTTATACAATGTAAGACATGATGTTATATATAGATATATATATTTTATAGTTCAATTAATTAATATATCTAAGCAACTGTGTTGTGGTTGAAGGAAACCACTTGGCTCGTTTCAATGATATATTTATGCTTTCTTTCCCTTGAGATATTTGTTGGATGAAGTCCATGCGCGGCATCACAAACATTACCAAACCACTCTAGGTGAAGAAACGAACAGAAAATGGGAAATGTGTTGGCAGCGGGTGGGTGGACCTTGAGGTTGAGATGTAAAAACCAGTCAAAAAGCTAGGGTGTGCGGTAATGGCATGAGACGAGAGCAGCAAATAGCTTAGGATGCCTAGGCGGCGCAAAACAAAAGCCGGCGACTTTGGATCCCCTTTGGCATCACTCGCTTGACAGCCCTTGTCTCTATGACTTTTGCTCTCTCTTGTAAATCACTCTCGTCATTCCTGTCTTGTCTTCTCCTCACTCTTTCACCTTTCCCCTTCTTTTATTTTGATCTTCTATGCTCCACCCTCATCAAGGACTTTAAACATTTCCCGCTAGTTTTGGTGCATTCTCTTGCAAGTTTAAATCCCTCTCGCCTATACAAACAATTTAAAATAAAAAGGTAAAAAATTAAAGACAACCCCACTGATTATGACCCAGTTAGAAAAGATATCTAAACTCTGAAGTTACAACTATGCCTGAAAATGGGGTGGCGTGGAAAGACTTGTATGGATGAATCCTGTTCCTGCCACTGTCAGCACAGGAACGCCCCGACGTGGAATGCTGCAACAATACCGTCAATACGCAGTCCATCAGGCGTTGGGCCATCACTCCGGTGTCACGTTAGGGCCCAAAAGTGGTTATGGATTTTAAAGATAGGATTCTTTTTTATGACATAAGATGGCAAGCAAAAGCTTGACAGTTACAGGAAAAATACAAAAAAAAAAAAGGCTATAAAGGCAATACATCAAAATACTTGTTGCAGGTTTTCTTGAATTATACCTACACAACTAGTAGGTATAGCCTGTAATAAGACTAAGTCATAAGGACCATGGAGAACCTTTTTGGCGAGTGTATCACCATAGTGAAGTGCACCGAATTTCAATATCCCATTGACTAAAGAGCAAGTTTCTAATCTTTTCAATCTCAATCCTAAGTGGATGATCAATGCTGGAATCTTTGGATAACCAATTGATAGCATCAATGGAGTCAGAGTATAATTGAACCTTCTGGAAATGGTGCTAATGACAAAGTTCTAGACCTGATTTAATAACAAGAATCTCAACGATAGTTGATGGAAAGGATCCAAGCTTCTTCATGAATCCCATAATCCATTGGTCTCTATCTTTTCTGATGACACTACCACGAGCAGCCTTGTTATTCTCATGAAAAAATCCATCCATGCCAATTCTGACCACATCAATGGGGGGAGGTTTCCAGACTGCCTCAATTTGAATTTGATTTGGGAAGAGTTGATGATGAAACTTAGCATGAGCAGTATCTTCCATCAGTTTGTGTAGATCACCATGAATGATCTCTTCTGGCTTCGCGCTACATCCTTCAAATACTTGTTTGCATCTATGAGTCCATGGTAACTAGCAAATATGACTAAAGGTTCTAAACCAATGCCATTTGTTTATCTTACATCCCCTGGGTTGTGTAATGAGTTCCATTGTAGCCATACTTGCAAATCAGAAGAGAAAAACATAAGTATATGGTTAGAAGTAATCAATGCTTTCCACACTTGTTGAGCTTTAAGGCGATCATGAAGAAGATGAATAATAGTTTTCTCATTGTGACACTCAAAAGGAAACACTGAAGTGTTTGAAAGACCTCTTCTCACTCTAAGTAAGTAATTTGCCACATGAAAGGTTGCACTTTCTCATGAACATTACATTTCCATATCTTGTTTCATAATGGATCCATTGCTGGATTAGTAAAATTAACAATGAATTCATAGGCTGCCTTGACAGAAAATCTTCCATCGGGCTTTCCTCCACCAATATACATCATCATGAACACAAGTAAGAGGTTTCAAGGAATTAAGGATACTATTAATGTCAGCTGAGAAGAAGGTAGACCATTTTTGTGTATTCCATTGACCGGAGGATAGCACAAAGTCACTAACGGAATCGGAGTGATTAATTAGCTCTAGATTCTTGTCAGCAAGAGTAATAAGAGGTTTCTCAAATGAAGTCCAAATATCTCCCCAAAACGACGTGTTACGTCCACTATTGATTTTCTTACCAACCCCCATCATGAAAGAATTTCAGACAGTGACAATTGCATTTTAGAGAAGCGATGAGTTTTTTCGAATCACAAAGGGTATTTCTTGAGACGAACGATCATATTTTGCCCAACCACATTGGACCCAAATGCATGAGGTTTGTTTATCATGGCCCAACAAAGCTTCATAATAAAAGCTTTATTTTGACTTTCAAGATCTTTAAGTTCTAGACCACCTTTCTTCTTACATTTTGTAATAGTCTCCCAAGAAATAAGATGCATTTTATTAAAGATAGGATTATATCCATACAATTACAACCATTTGTTTAAATTTAATTAATTTTAAAATAATATTCTGTAAAATTAGAATCAGAGTATTAAATTGTAAAAATAAACACAGTTTTAAACTTTCAAAATTTGACCTTAATAATTTTAAAATATATTGGAGGGGATATCATTAAAATATTTTATAAAATATAATTTTTGTAGTTTCTAAACTATAGTTTCGAGTTTTTTAAATAAAAATTTAATTGCTCAAATATATACATTTACTATCGTGCTATTTCATATTTAAATAATAGTTTAATAACAAGATAAATCTAAACCATCCTAAAAGGAGGGGAAGCAGAAAGAATCCCTTATTTGAATATTATTGACAAGGAGAAAGCACGTTAGTTATTTACTTTTCGTAAAAAAACATAATGACGGCAAATATATTCGAAATAGGTCCTAGTTTCTTTATTCTGACAATGCATTGCTTGCCGGGCTTCCCCGAAAAAGAGCCTGACTATTGTTATTTTATATTTTATTTTAGTGAGGCGAGATTGCAGGCCTCTCCCCTTGAGAAACAAAAACCCCAGTTCTGGGCAGGAGAAGGGAAGATTACAAAAATCGCGCCTCTGTGCAAGCCCGCATTGCAAGGAAGAAGCAGGTGATCTGCATTCCTGAGGGTGAAACAAACAAGTAGCAGTAGCAGAAAAATTGGGGAGTGAAATGGGAATTATCTGGCCAAAGGGAAAAGAGGATTGAAATTGATGGGATCACAAAACTACGGATTTAATCACACAAGTATTAAAAATTTCATGTAATCTGCCCAGCAATCCTGACTACTTCGATCTGTCATATACTCTCCTGCATTTAATAGTTTTTTTTTTTTTATTAACACTGGAGGGTCAATGGTCTAAATGACTATTTCCAAAAGAGGTCGCTGTTGGTTTCCGATTACTTTTAAAAAAAATAAAGGAACATGCAGTTGACCTAAAGCATGGGTTGAGTGTATTTTAACCTCATTACCATTCTTTACCAAATCAGAGGAGAAGACTTCTCTCCATTTTTATAACCCCTAACCAAATATTATGTAAAGGGTTAAGCATGAATATACCGGAGTTCACCAAAAAAAATATTGTTAATTCGTAATGCTGATGTAAAATTTCAATATTAATATAATACAATAAGAACAAGGTAAATGGAAAAGTAGCTTGATCTGGGACCATGGAATTTGCATGGAGTTCAAGAGTCTACAAGGACCCATGATTAAATCCAGCGAGGAAATAATGTCACAAATTTTTTTTTTTTAAAAGCAACCATTAATGGCTAATAATAAGAGTCAAATATATGCACCAAATAAAAGTAGCATTCATAAATTATAAATAAGTTGCACTATTGTTTATTCAATTTTTAATGGATTACAAATTATAGATGAAATATCTACATAAAGATACAGATGTACAGTCGCAGATATATGCATATTTATAAAAAAAGGAGTAATTAACTTATAAAATTAAAAATTATAATTCACAAAATTTTTATGAAATATGATAATTTTTATATTTATAATATATATTAATAATTTTATTATGCACTCCCTTCACTTAAAAATATAAAATATTTTTAAAAATTAAATGTTTAAAAATAAAAAATATTTTTAATTTTTTAATATGTAATCATTATTTTTTTAAATATTTTTATTAATAATAATTTTATATTTATTATAAATTGTTTAATAAAAAATATAAAAAAATAAACAATTACTTAAACCGTATAAATTTCACGTGAAATTTAAATTTTAATGGTGCGTAACAGCAGGAGTATCAGGCTGGGGAGTAGGGAGATAGAACGTGCCGTGAATAGGGAGATTTCGATGAAGTACACCCGAATGATATGCGCGACCATTGGGTAAAGTTGTACAGTGCAGTGGGTCGGTCAGTCACAAGCGTGCTCTCTGGTTTTTGCGGGGTTCTCCTTCTTATGTCACCCACTCTGCAGAGACGTCCATGCCACTATATCTTACACCTCCTCTCATAACAAAGATCACGTGTCCCCTCCCTCCCTCGCATCTCACACCCAGCTCCCGCCCAAGGACGTGCCAGTGGCAGCGGCCGGAGAAGCGAGTATATCCACAGCTCTGTGGTGGTGGGATGTCGGGAGTGTGGGTATTTGACAAGAAAGGCGTGGCCAGACTCATCTCCAACCCGACCCGAGAATCATTCGAGCAAAGAGAGCCGCTGCTTCCCGGCGCCGGCACCGCCACCGCTCCCGGTGCTCGGCCTAGAGTGCTGGTCTACCTGCCTACCAACCACGTCATACGCTCATTCTCTGAACTGGAGCAGCGTCTCCTGGAGCTCGGCTGGAGTCGCTACCATAACACCAACAGTTGCACCCCTCACCTTGTTCAGTTCCACCGCTCCCACTCCTCCCCGCACCTCATCTCACTCCCATCCGACTTCCGCAACTTGAAGCACTTCCACTTGTACGACATCGTCGTCAAGAACCCTTGCTGCTTCCAAGTTCGCGATGCCTCCTCCTGATCATTTTAGCTCCTTGAAATTCGCCACCCCACTGGATACCTGCACCGCATGCACAAGGAGCACCGACCTGACTCGATTATTTGTGTACTCTTGGAGCTTTTTTCAGGAATGAGAACGG